TGCTGTGAAGCTGTCCGCAGCCTTTGCAGTGCGGGTTTGATTCCCCGCCGGCCTGGGAGAAACCCACGTGGCGCGGCAGACCTCTCCTGCCTTGCCCGCTGCTCCTCTCAGCAGTGTCTTTGGTCCCTCTGCCTGTTCTGCTCCCCACTCTGTCTCTGGTGAATTCTCTCACCCTCCGGCGCCTCTGACCTGTACCCCAGTTCTTGTATAAATGAATAAATCTTAAAAAAAAAAAAAGACAAATGGAGACCTCATCTTCCCAGTGTGAGTAGCTGGTGACAAGTGGCCTCTGAAGCGTCTTACAAGCACTGATCCAAATAGGATTTCCCACAAACTCTTGCCAGTCCAGCCAGACTGCTTTTTCCTGCTGCCATTTGAGACCGTGGCATTAGCAGCTGTTACCAGAAGCTGCTATGGTGGAATCTGAACTGTTGATTGAGGAAACTTAAGGATCAAGACTTGAGGATGTTCCTTCCTCAGATTCTGCCCTGAACATGGGCCACTGTGAACAGCGCTTTGTGGGTGGCAAGGACGTGCGGGCCTTAGGGAGCAGTGCTGGAATAGCTGGGGCAAGGCCTGGTCTTCCATTTGCTTCTGTTCATCATGGGGAGCCAGACAAACCTCTCTGGAAGCTCCCATGCCCTACCCTGTGCCCCCAAACTCAACCAGTCAACACCGAGTGAGGGAGGAATGCTTTCCTCCATCCTGGCTGCTCACTGCTCGTCATTGGTCTCATGTGGTCGTTGGTCTCCAGAGAAAGTTCTGTGAGCAAAACCTCCTAGGAGTCACACCCCTGTGTGTTCACCTCCCATGTGGAGTCTCAACTGTCAAGGCTAGGCAATCAGAAAGCCTACAGCTTCTGCTTAGGTATCCCAGAATGCTCGTGCTTGAGACATTCCCTCGTGGGGCTTGGTTGCTATGCCATGAGAAGACCAAGTGCCAGGGAGAAGGCAGGAGGAGGCCCCCCTGGCCAGCCCCAACCAAGCCAGCACACACTGCCTGCCATGTGAGTGCAGCAACCATCTTGGACCTCCAGCTGAGCCCAGGCTTTGTCTGGCTCCCGCCCCAGCCACCATCTGACCACAACTACATGAGAGACCACAAGCAAGGGCCCCGCTGAGCCCAGTCAACTCTCGCAACCACAGCAAAGAGTGATAAATTGTGGCTGGAAGCCACTAAGTTGGGAAGTAGTTTGTTGCACAGCAGTAGATAACTAGGACATAGTGTGTGACCAGATGACCTAAGTGCATGACTAGAGCTACAGAGAGAGCCTGCCTTTTCCAATTTGGGTTCTGATTGTAACTCTGGTTGTTCATGTCAAGTTCTGTGGCTTGCACAGGGCCCAGAGAGATCTCGGGGCGGGGTGGGTAGCAAAGAAGGGTGAGGGGGCTTGAGCAAAGTAACAAGGGGCAGATTGACTTTTGAGTACTTGAGTTAATGTTAGGAGAATAAGACAGCAGATACCTGTTCTTTCCAACAGAGTGAGAGCTCTTGGCGGTGGTACTTGCCTTATTTATCATCACACTGCTGAATTAAGTAGGCTGGGTCTCCTTGACCTTGACAAGCATGTAAATCAATCCATGCTTTGGAGGGAACACTCTGAAGGGACCAGGGAAGCAGGGGCAGACCCTGCACTGAGCACTTGCAGTCTGATCAGGGAGGTGGGGCTTCTGCCTGTCTAATAGGTGAAGGCTGTGGTTTTCGTCCTCAGCAAGGCCTTGGGACACGGCAGGCCATAGCCGTGCCTCTTTCCCCTTTTACATATTTTCTTCATACAAGATCATCAAAGGAGTTGGGGGCTGGGTAGATCGGCCTTCTGGTTCCCAGAAATCTTTCCAGAAGCCTTCACTGCAGGCCAGGCCCGGCTCCCTGGTGTGACTGCTGCCTTTCCCTGTCATTCAAGTGCCCAAGACCTGCCAGGGTCTCCCAGGGAGTACGTATGCCAAGACCTCTGGCCTCTGGGAGCACTCAGGGTGGACACAGCAGGTGGTTGACAGACCAGTCTGTGCTGCCCAAAACAGCAGCCGCAAAGACTGAGCAGAATTAAACGGAGCTGCCAGCCCTGTTCAGTGAGAGGAAGAGTAGGTGGGTTTGTTTAAAATACTCCCATTACAGTCAGTTAACCTTTATGTTCCCTAAATGAAAATTGTATAAACCTGAAATTTTCGTTGATCAGGTTGCCTAGGAACAGGCAGCAGGTTTTCATAAGACAATGCAGTAGATTGTCACCGATAGGGCTATTAGGAAGTGAGCTGGTTAGCGGCATTATTCCGGATCCTGGTGTTGGTGTTAGGTAATTATCTGTCTGCCTCTGCGGAACACACCCATGTTCCCAGGCTCTGGCAGGCTCTTGCAAATGAGGTTTCTCAGTTGGCTTCTCTCTGAGTCCTGGGGGTGGAGTCTGAGATAGAGAGGCAAATTGTTACCCCTGGGCTTATCAGAGTAATCTAAAAGACCCCATTCTGATGAATTTCTTTCTTTTTAATTACCTCTCCCCGCCCCCACTTGCCACACTAATACCCAAAATAGAAAATTTGGGAAATTAGCAACAATAAAAAATGTAGAATGGAAAGAACCAAGAACTTTGGTACGTTCTTTTAGAGTTTTTTTCTGTGTAGGCTATATACACTTGGGGTTTTTTCTCCCACAAAGTCACTGTAATTTGCTTTTTCCCCCTTCTTGGAGTTGGGGTGAACACCTATCCCAGCTTGCCTGAGGCTGAAGTTTTCCCAATCCAGTCTTGTTGTCAGCTTAGGTAACCACACTCAGCCAAACCCAACTCCCAGTTCTGACATTTAGGGTTTTTGGTTTTTAATTACAATTATTGCATTTTGCAAATAGCCCCTTCCAGACACCCTTACAAGATAAATTCCTGCAAATGGGATTATTAGGTCAAAGGATGTGTACATGTATAGCTTGATATATTGTCAAATTGCCTTCCAGAAAAAATAAAAATATGTGCCTCTCTACCTCTGTCCTCTACTCTCAGGAACTCGGCCACCAAACCCTTCATCACAGCCAGCCTTGTAGGTGGAAGATATCTGCAGATGTGTGTTTATTAGCCATTTGTGAATTGCCTGTTCGTGTTTTACCATTTCTCTTTTGGGATGCATGTTTCTTTGCTTTTAATGTGTAAAAACTCTGTATTAAGCATCTCCATCATAAATGTTGAACCATTTTGACCACTTTTAAAAGCATTTATCATTGTCATTTTGTAACGAGCAAGAGTAAATAATATCTGCTCTCTGGTGCCTTTGAAGAAAAAGAAGTTAATATTTTAGGTAACAAAAACTCCCCCCAACCTCAATCACTAATTTTTTTTTTTTTTTTCAATTGAAGTGTCTGGGCTGAGGATATCTCTGCAGAGAATAATTCATGCACTCCTCACCCCTACCCCCACTCCGTAGATCCCCTCTAAAACAATGTATACTCCACAACTTTTCCTTCATATCTCACTCTGTGAACAATACTAATTCACTCTATGTGGTAGTGATACTTCAACAGCTGTTGATCTACATGGAGTTTTGGCTCCTGTACCATATGGACCCAGGCTGGTTTTTAAATAAGATACCCGATTTTTGCCTTCCCCATCACTACCAGGCTGTTATTGTGCAGTTAGTTTTCACTGCTGTGAGCCCTGCCTTACCTTACAACATCCCATCTTCATCAACAGTGGGATTTCATTACCAACTAACAATGCTTGTTAAGTTGATCTGTGACTAAATGCAAGTAAGTGCCCAGCAAGAGCCTAAGAAAACTCTAGTTTAAAAAAGCAGTGAAGCGGGCCTCCCCGGTGGCGCAGCGGTTGAGTGCTGGGTTGCGAGGCTGCGCGCGGCCTCTGCGGCGCCGGTTCGATCCCCGGCTGCTCCCCGGCCACCGGAGGAGGGTCCCACATGGTGCGCAGACCTCTCCTGCCGCCCGCTGCTCCCCTCAGCAGTGTACTTCGTCACTCTGCCTGCTCTGCTCCCCGCTCTGGCTCTGGTGAATTCTCTCACCCTCCCGCGCTTCTGACTGTACCCAGTGCATGTACAAACAAAACAAACAAACAAACCAGCAAACAAATAAATAAAGCATGCCTCTATTAAAAAAATAAAAATAAAAAAAAAATAATAATAAAAAAAAAAAAAAAGCAGTGAAGGAACTTCAGCAGGTAGCTGTTTCACTTATTTCCTGGGTGTTGCATTATGTATAGTTGAGGTTATAAAATAAGTGACTACTGGACATTCAAGAGAAACAGAATTTGCTTGGTAGACAGAAGGGGAATAAAGGAAAGATTAGCAGCCACTTAATGACATAGCTGACAAATGAGAAGTGAGCAATCCAGATGAACAGAATCAGTGTTTAATCTTATTACTTCCCTCGAGTGTGCTGGGGCAGGTTTTATAGATTTAGGGGCATTGCTGACCTAAAAATATTAAAAATCCGGCTTCCAAACCTGTACCTGCTGGAGGTGGCTAGTAGCACCTTACACAAGCCCTTGATACTCAACTTTCTCATCTGTGAAATGGAACTTAGACTCACTAACCTGTCTGTTTAATAAGAGGTACAGTCAGATGGTGTGATCTGACCAATCTCTGACCTGAAGGAACGTTAAAGGAATTTGTAAACTTGTAAAGGGCCAACCAACAGTGAGGGGCTGTTAGTGCTGCTATTGTAATTATTCCCAGACTCATCAAACAGCTGTCCTCTGCCTCCTTAACCCTTATGCCTCCTGCACAAGTTCAGCCTCAGCTCCCACTCATGCCTGTGTATCTTAGCTTACTTCCTCACCACCCCTCCAAACCCAATTTCACCCTTGTAGGTTTTTCTGAAGCTGGATTTGCACAAGTGGCGTGTTTTCTTAAATATTTATTTTGCAGGCCATTTACTCCACACGGTTATTTTTACAGTGAGTAAGGAGAAAGGCTAAAAATAGCTTAGCTCGTAACCAAATCGGTTCTGCATTTGACATTTACGTGGAATTCATTTACATCTCATTTGTTCACCTTTCTGTTTAACAGGTAGAATGTAAGAAAGCTCAGCCGAAAGAAGTCATGTTCCCACCTGGGACGAGAGGCCGGGCCCGGGGACTGCCTTATACCATGGATGCGTTCATGCTTGGCATGGGGATGCTGGGTGAGTCTAGATGGGATCCTGGGGACCCAGCAGAATGACTGTAGTCTAGGGACTGTAGAGGCCTGTATACCCAAGTGGGCCAACTACCAGTTGGACAAACTGCTTTACCTATGTGAGCCTCAGTTTCCTCAACTTAGATGAGGATGGAACCCTCCTTGCAGAATGACTGTGACCACTGAGGTTGAGAGAGAGACACCTCTTTGTCCCATACCTGGCTCATAGGATGTAGTGGATATTATTTTCTCTCCTTCACAAATCCCTCTCTGCATCAGCCCTCTCAGCTGACTGGAGTTAGAGACCTAAAGACTCCTGCTGGCTTAACTTGTGTGGGCCAAGGCAGTGTTTTCTAAAACTTGAGAGAGGAGGGGTAGTGGCGAGAGTGGGTGATAATCCTGTCTATTTAAATGATTAACATTTTTCTCTTGGGATATCAAAATTTGCATTTAAATGGATGTTTTAAATAGCCTGTTTTACTCTTTATTTGCAAAAAAAAAAAATGATGAAAGACAAAGTGTGTTTGTTCTGACAAAAAATGATCTCTCCTGGCTTTTAGAGAAATTGAGTTGCATATTATGCCCCTTCCTTAAAGGTATCTCTGTCCGTCCTGCATAGATAATTGAAAATCTTACCGCTTAAATGGCATGAAAGATGGAGAAAGCAGTGGAGAAGCGTAATGGCATGGGTCGCAACAATAATTAGAAATTTCAAGGCAAGAGAACGGTATTTTAGTGCAAGTTATTGTGTTTCGAGAAAATACTAATTAAATGGGATAAATGGTAGTTAATGGTAAAATTCCATTCAGGCACATGATCTGTCTAGTTTTAATGGGTTTTCATTTGCTTCGGATAAGAGTTGCTCTTCTACATTGTTTGATAAGCTCTTTATGTATTTTCAGATTTGCTGCTGTTTAAATCATTCCTGGCTTAGTTTTAAGTTTATAAAGCTTTTCTTGGTTTTATAAATTCTTTTTAAAATTGTATCTATTTATCTGAGAAAATAACATGGGCAGGTAAAGTTATTTTAAAGAACTTTAAAAAATGGAGAGAGAAGCCAGGAGAATACTGAAAATGGCTGAGATGTTCATTCTTCTCCAATTAATTTTTTCGTTTCACAGAGTTTCTAAGGAAAATTCTCTTATAATTCTTTAAAATTGGACAAATGGTTCTAAAAACTTACCTAGAAGAATAAACAAATGAGAATAAGTAAGAAAATTTCTTTAAAAGAGAAATGAGAGAAAACCATTTTGACTGGACATCAGAACATAACACAAAGCTGCAGTAATTAAAATAGAGTGGCATATTGGAATGCATCTGTTGATAGAAAAAGTTAGAGACTAAACTACATTTCTGCTTAAGAGTGTAATTTCTATTGAGAGTGTAATTATTATAAAATTATTATCTTAAATCAATGAGAATTATTTCCTGGTTGACCATAAGACACATTTGGCTCTTGCTTTCAAAAATCATTTCAATGTGGCCATTATGTTGTATACCAAAAGAAACTCTGAATGGACTAATAGTTTTAAATTTTAAAACCAAACCTTAGAGAGAAAAAAAGTTGAGCCCATTCCTACCTGCTGACTTTTGGGCCCTTGAAATTTAAATAACGGGTTGCGTTCATCCCTACTACATAAAATGGGAGACTTTATAGGCTCCAAATCTTCAGGAGGTGCCCCCACCCCACCTTTGAGTCTAACTAGAGACACCCTTTACATGCTAGAAAGAATGAGCTGACTCTTTAGGGGGAAGCAGAGGTATGAAATGAAGCTTGCTCCCTTGTGTCAATTGCCAAAGACAGAAGTACAGCAGCTGTGTTCAGTACCCCAGACCCCAGGACTTGGTGCCAGGTCTATACAGCCACCCAAACTCAGATCTCTGAACAGAAATCACCCAGATGCGAGATGAATGTCACATGCTTACTCCTCCCCATCCTTTCAAATTTCAAGTTCTGACCTCCCTGAGCCACCATGAAGAAGTAACTGTTAGACTTTAACCATGATGACATTTTAAACTATTACTTCTTGACTCTTGAGTTATAACCTCCCCAGCCCCACCCCTTCCCTCCATTAAGGCTTTCGCCTTTTGCCCACATAATCTGGTTTAGACCACCACCAGGCAGAACCCCCAGACCTCATTCAGCCCCCCTCAGATTACAGAGCTCTCCTCTTTCCCCCAACCAAGCAGAGAGCCCTTCAGGTGGAATTGATGGCATCAGCCCTGCCCCCAGCAGGGGGGCCTTTGGGTTGGGGACACTGGAATTGGGAGAGCCAGACTCCCCATCCTGTTAGCTGTGTAACTTGGGGCAAGTGACACCTCTCTGTTCTTCAGTTACCCCATCCATAGATGGGATAATAATCTCACTTCTTGAGGTTTTTGAGGATAAATGAAACCATTACCATGCCCAGCAATTGCTGTATTTTGTCAAATCCCAGCTCCCATGAAAAGTAAGACATACCTTCATGTGCCATTCAGAAAGAGAAAGTACAGGTTGTTAACTGAGCCACACTGAGGCTTTCTTTACTGCCTGACCATGAGACAGGGCCCACTTTCAGAGATAGAAAACTAGGAGAGATAAAAATGCAGGTCTTACAAGCAACAAAATACAGTCATGTCTATGTGCTCACACTGGGAGATGTTGTTCATAAGGTATTGGGGAGCCCCAGACACCCTCTCAATTGGGGGGTGGCTAAGAGCATAGCCAGATTCATGGGGTGAATTGTGCTGCATTGACTGCAGCCTCTACCTTGGTTCAGATCCCCAGCCTAAGGAGACAGAGAGCCTTGCATTTTCCCCTTCAATGAAGATCCTATGCTGGACTCCGGACTTTGTCAGTCCCCTGTGCTCCTGAATTCCCCAGCTGCTATGGTAAGGCATCCAGAAGCCTACTGGGGAGGCCCAAAATGTGCCCCCAGCCAGGATCCAGCTCAACCTAAGTTGCAGGGAGAAGAGATAAACCAGGCATAGCTCCAGGGGATAAGTTCACAGTCCAAGGTCTGGTGGGCCTGTTGCCTCCCTGCCAGACCCTAGTCCCCTGCCCTTCCTTCTCTGCCCTCACCAGACACTCCCAGAACTGCCCTCTATTTTGCTCACTCCCTGGGCTTCCAGGCTCCTAGGGCAAGGAGAATGCCAGCTGCGTTGCCTCTTCTTCCCTCTACAGTGGTGGCATTAGGTGGAGTCTAATCCTGCAGTAGGATGGCCTCACCTGTCACCATCAGTCACCTGTCTCACATCCTCCATGCGCACCAGGCCTCATGTCAGCTCTAGAATCACTGCCATTACCCCCAGCAACAGTTTGGCTGATGGCTTCTGCTCATGCAGAAAAACATTTTTAAAATCCATTAATAAATAGATTGAGATGAGGTTTCAATGATTTAAACTGGTATTGTTCAAAGAGCAGAAAGCTATATACCCCTTATAGAGATCTTTAGAAATGAGACTATAAACCATTAAAGCTTTTGAATTCATCCATTCAACAAATATTTATTGAGTGCCTTCTAAGTGCCTGGTGCTGTTCTAGACACTGAGAATAGCAGAGAATGAAGTCTCTGATCTCTGGGTGCTGACCTTCTGGTGAGACAACAGACACGCTGGAAATGGTGGAACTAATTTTTAAGCATCTTGTAAAATTTTCTCCATTCTTGGGGAGGGCTCATCAAAGGGAGGCTGATGGGCATATAGTTGTAGTTATCTTTCTTGATCTCTCTTAATAGAGTGGCAAACATCCCAGGGGTGAACTACAGCTGTTTTGGTTTTAGCTTTCACAGCCTATGACAGGATCTTGGCATAATCTGCCAAATGGGAATTCCTTAAAATGAATATGGGAAGGGGCCTCCCCTGGTGGCGCAGCGGTTGAGCGCTGGGCAGCGAGTCTGCCCACAGCCTCTGCAGTGCCGGTTCGATCCCCGGTCGCCGGCGAGGGTCCCACATGGTGCACAGACCTCTCCTGCCACCCGCTGATCCCCTCAGCAGTGTACCTTGGTCCTTCTACCTGTTCTGCTCCCCGCTCTGGCTCTGGTGAATTCTCTCACCCTCCTGTGCTTCTGTCTGTGCCCAGTGCTTGTATTAATAAAGAAATCTTTTTTTAAAAAAAATTAATATAGGAAGAAGAGGGTCATCCTTAGTCTGGGTCTCCCTGCCTTTGAGCTGCGCAGAACCAAAATCAACAAAGACCCTTAGAAAAGATCCTTTTGCAGCCCTCAGGCCTGGTCCTGCTGCCTCGCAGCGACAGAAGGGTGTGCAGTGATTCTCTCCATGCACTAGAATCTCCTTGGTTTTTCTTAATGAAAGTGGACTTAATAAAAGCAAACAACATGATTATAGTTGATATATCTGATTCCTCTTGGCCTTCTCTGCCCTCAGCCACATAATCCCACTGCCTTTAACTCTCTTGACCTTGTTGAGCACACACTATTTAACTTGTTTGATACCAGTGGTGGAGAAGTAAATACCTCATTGCTGAAGCCTAAAAGAAAAGCTTCACCCTGGCAGCCCCAGAAATGGAGATGCACTACTGATCAGCGCGAGAAAGCCAGAGACTTGGCTCTTCCCAGTGCCCGTACCGAGAAGCCCCTGTGAAGTCCTGACCCAGTGTTCCCTGCCATTAAGCCCCTCTGAATTGAAAGCCAAAGGGAGCTGTAATCTGCTGGCATCCACTAACAGATCAAAAGGAGATTGGCTGGAATGGAAAGCGACATGTCAAGACCCATTTGTAACTTCAGCTGGGATTTGTGTCCCCAAAAATTATTTGCTGAGGTCATTCCCAAGGAGGTCTCTTTTGGTTCAGCTGTTTCTGGTGTTCAGAGGAAATTCAAAATTCACTTCTTTGTTTTTCTTCTAGAGCAGCACAGCCCAGTAGAACTTTCTGCAGTGGTGGGAATAGCCTCTATCTGTGCTGCCCAAGATGGCGATCTCTAGCTAATGTGGTTGTTGGGCATTTTTAAGATATGGCTCGTGTGATGGAAGAACTGAAGTTTTTGTTTTACAGCATTTAATTCCAATTTATACAATTTATATCATTGAAATTAAATGTGACTCCAGATGATTCTGGGGGCTGAATGTCTTTGCAGCCTTTGGCCTTCACATCCTCGCCTGAGAAGGACTCCTGGCACTCGGTGTTGTGTCTGTTTGCAGACCTCACGGAGCTGACATGATGCCCGGGCCATGCTCTGCACACCGTGCAGCAGATACGTCACACTCTGGCAGCTCCCTGGATAAACAGCCCTTGTCTCTTGTCTCTTTCAAGTCAGGGGCCCGGTGCAAGCAGTTTTCCATGACGCTGGCTAGCTGAGTAACAGCCCAGGAGAGGATGAATCATGTGCCCATCTAGAATGCAAATATCTTCTAGGGCTGGAGCAAAGATTTAGAACCACAGTTCTGAGAACTCTGCCAAGCATCTCCAAAAGAGGGCCCTGAAATGAGAGAGTGGCAAATGCAAATTCAAATTCTGTTGTTGATTTCTGAATTTTTTTTCCACAATGGAAAGCCTATCTGCAAGAAAGGTAGTCACCCAGGCAGAAGGCTTGGTTTTTTTCTTTAGTGACAAGAGATAATTACTGTGGGATTGATCAGGCGTCCAGAGTACTGGAGCAAATAAATTGTGCAGCGGCCAGTGCAGGAGGGGCCCGGCTGCTAATGGAAGCAGTGGCTGGGTCATCTCACCCTAATGTGGCTTGATGGCGCTTCCACGTGGGTCTGCTGTAATGTGCTATTGATATGCAGCCAGCCAATTTCCCCCGTGTGGCTGGGGCTGTGAGTTGCTGGAGCAGAGCTGGGCTGCACAGCAGTAAATGAAGAGGAAAATTGAAGTAATGTTGTATTATAAATTTATGATTTCATCTGCCTGACCCAGAGGATGTTCGGTGATTGGGGGAGGGGGGGGATTGGGAGATAAGATCCCCCACTTTTGGCAGATGCCAAATTCCCGTCTTTGTTGTTCCAGAGTCAATATTGACCCGTCCCGGAAGAGAGGGGTAAGGCCCCAAATTGGGGTGAACTTGACCACACTTTTCTTCCCTCTTGTTGAAGACTTTTGAGTGTGCCAGGAGGGGAGCACATATAATGTTAGGTGGTCCAAATCAGAGAGGGATGGGGCGTCCTCCGTCCACACCCACCCTTGAGGTGGTCTTGAAGGTGACCCATGGACTTCTGCTTTTGCTAGCAGCTTAACCTAAAATATTTAAGACCTCAGTGCTGAAAGTAGAAGCAAAAGAAGTCATTTTTCATGAGAAAAACCCCGAGGCAGCGGTGATCTGGCAGTTTGCATATAATCCGCTTATCAATATTGTTGAAATAATGGTAGGAAAAAATCTAGTGTTGAAAGATCTGATTTGCTAGCAGGTGATTAATTTGGAGGAGAACTGAGCTGCCTCACCATGAAATATACACCAAGGAAGGAGCCAGCACTAAGGCATCCAAATCTAATCTTGGCCTCTGCCTCTTCCCTCTTCTTCCTTCCCGCCTTCCCCCCTCAGGTACCAGAGCTCAAGGCCACATTTGGGTCCTCTCCTCAGCAGTCAGGATAGACCTGCCAGGCCATCATCCTGTCCTACCTGGGCACCTCTCTGCTGAAGAGACTTGAGTGCTGGGGAAAAAGCACGCAGTGAAGGAGCAGGTAGCCAGACCCTGTTGAGACAAAACAGGTCATTTGACCAGTGAGTTATGAGTACAAGTCTGGAAAGGCTGTGGCTAAAGCAAGGGAAAGGAAACACAACTGGTCCCAGTTGAGAATTAGTGTCCATCAGTGCTGCAGGAGACAAGAGGAGAGCTCAAGCTCCTGGGGGAAAGGGAAGACCCCAAGGGTGTGCTCTCTGTCCAGAGGCAGGGCTGGAACCCAGGTCTGGGTGTCCAGTCCAATGAGGTTCCATTCTGGTTCTAATGGCGGCTCCACTAATTAGGCCAGAAGTTACCACAAGCACAGGAAAGGGAGGGAGGCTGGGATCTACCTCTGATCTTCTGAGGCACATGAGCTCTATGAACAGGAAACAAGATGACCAGCATACTCACTCGTGTGCCAGAATGCACAGATGAAATTTAGCAACTGATCCTGTTTCTTTAAACCTCGCCTGCAGGGTCAGGGAAAGCTTGTAACCCATGAGAATCTCTGAGGAGGTGGACAGTGAGACCCAAGAGCTGGAGTTCAGGGCTGTATAAGGAAGGGACTGTGGAACCACAGAGACACATGTGGACAGTTGTCACTTGTTGCCCTGAAGGCTAACGGTGTGAGTACTGTCTTAAACCCTCCCTTCAAAGCAGCTTTCTTCCAGCTTTTGTTTTGGTAGGAAGCAACAGAAGCACCTCTGACTGTTCTAAGCAGCAAAGGAGATTATTGGAAGGGGTGTGGGTAGCATACAGACTTGTCAGGAGGCTGGAGAACAGACAGGAACCTGGTATCGGGAAGGTCAGAACCACAGCTAAAGCCAGGTCCACTCTTGCCACCACTGGATGCTGGACTCTGCTGCTGCCCCCAGGACAAATTCTGAGCCACCCTCTCTCCTCTGCCCCACTCACCCTAGGTACATAGAAAGTTTCCTCTGGCCAAGCCTAGCTTCCTTGCCTGTTTCCCAGATGCTTAACTCAGAGATCAGGAGGCCTTCTCTGCTTCCATAGTGAGAGGCAGGCCTCTCTCAAACCTAGGGGAGAAGATTCAGGTGCAGGGAGCCAAAAAACAGCCAGAGGGCCTCCCTGGTGGCGCAAGGGGTTAGACCTTGCGCTCGGCCTCTCTAGTGCAAGGTGGCACTAGGAAGCAATCCGCACCTTCTGCAGTATGAGTTCAATCCCCGGCCGGCCAGGGAGCAACCCACATGGTGAGGCAGACCTCTCCTGGCTCGCCCACTGCTACCCTCAGCAGTGTATTTCAGTCAGTCTGCCTGTTCTGTGCCCTCTCTGTCTCTGGTGAATCCTCTCACCCTCCGCATCTCTGGCCTGTACCCCGGCACTTGTATGCATAAATAAATCTTTAAAAAATTAAAAATAAAAAGACAGCCTGAGACATCCACTCAGAGGTCGAAGCAGACCAAGCCTGTGGGTGGTGGCCAGAGCGGTGATTAAAGAGTATGATGTACCAAGACACCATACTTTGAGGAGAGGAGGCTATAGTGGCCTGGCAGAGTGGAAACAGGGTGACCTGTGGGATTTCACTCCAAGAAGGCTTCTCTGCGGCTGGAATCAAGAGGCAGGAATGTAAAGAGTAAGGTGGCCTGAGCAGGTGCAGTGAAGGGTCGAGACCCTTACTGGGGGTTCCCAGCAGCCCACAGAAGCTACAACAGCACTGGAACTTGAACCCGTACCCAGCCCAGCAACAGTTTCCACAAGCGCCCTCAATTCACCAGTCACCCTCTGCTTTGTCTGCTGGGGAAAACATGTTCGCTCTGGCACCCATCAAAACACGTGGCTTGAGGGCCTCCCCGGTGGCCCGGTGGCAGCGGTTGAGCGCTGGGTTGCGAAGCTGCCCGCGGCCTCTGCAGCGCTGGTTCGATCCCCGGCTGCTCCCCGGCCACCGGAGGAGGGTCCCATATGGCGCGCAGACCTCTCCTGCCGCCCGCTGCTCCCCTCAGCAGTGGACTTCGGTCCTTCTGCCTGCTCTGCTCCCCGCTCTGGCTCTGGTGAATTCTCTCACCCTCCCGCGCTTCTGACTGTACCCAGTGCTTGTATAAACAAAACAAACAAACAAACAAATAAATAAATAAATAAACATGCCTCTATAAAAAAAATAAAATAAAATAAATTTTAAAAAAAGTTATAAAAAAAAACACGTGGCTTGAGACTGCAGAGCGTGGGGCTTGCTTCTCAGGGCTCATTTGAAGACGAGCAGTCTCTCACCATTCCCCAGGGGCCTTGGGAAGGGTCGGCATCCTTACTTGGCTGTGGCCCAGAAGCGCAGGGTCAGCCGTGGGTTTGATGCTGAAGTGTGATCCCTGAGTCTCATGCTCTGTCTGGTGCCGGAGCTGCTGTCCGCTGCCTTGGGAGGCGGCATTACAAGGACTTTAATCTCCTACTGTCAATACCTTTAAGGTAAAGTACATTCAGGGTAAGCTCTCCAAATGTCAGAGCCAGGCGCAGGCCCTGTGTCTAGTGCTAATGCGTGGCATTTACTCTGCCGGTTTGAGAAAGTGCGTGGGCTGTGGGGGTCTCTCTGCCCAAATACGGGTTAATTACCAGCCGGCCGACAGAAGCACCCCCGGCCACCAGGGAGAGGTGACCCAAGTCCTGAGTAAAGACCCTCACGGGAGACAAATCATTTCTGTGGTGGAAAGAACTTGGCTGTTTCTCATTCCTGCCCTCCCCAGACCTGAGGCATCTGTACTAACAGGACTGTGGTGTTTATCTCTGTGTTCCAGGCTACCCCAACTTTGTGGCAACCTATGGCCGCGGCTACCCCGGATTTGCTCCAAGCTATGGCTACCAGTTTCCAGGTGAGTGACTGTCCCCCCAGGACTTTGGAAACATGGGAGGTGGGCTGCGTTTTGGGCCTGCATTTAGGACCCCTAAAGAGAAGACAAATCATCCATACATGTTTGAGAAGCCCCCCGGATGTGATAAGTTTTGAGTCCATTTGACTATAGAGTCCATTTGACTATGTACCTCAGTTCTGGTTAACTAAAGCAGGTCACTGTACGGATATCTGAGGGAGAGAAGGAAATGCTGGGCGGGGAGGGTGGGCCGGCTGCTTTTCGTGAAGCCTGTTACTCCACCTTTCTCACTGGGGACTCCAGCCAGGCTTTTCTCCTCCTCATCCCTCCCCCTCACCTGCCTCCCGCTTCCTCTGCCTGGTATCAGCTTCTCTCACTCCCCCTCCCTCCTCAGCATCCCTGGAGGCTCCCGGCTCTGGCTTTGGTTTCCTCTGGTGTATGTTGGTGGGGTGCAATTGGGGCTTGGGTTTGCTCTCTGTTCTGGGTGGGGGGTTGCGTTCTCTCTCCCCTGTGTGGGCGGCAGAGGCTCCAGACATTACTCCAGGGTGATGCCCACTCACACACCCAGGCTGCTGCAGCTCTGATGTAGCAGGGAGGCTGGGACCCCCGCCTGAGCCTGGGCAGCAAGGGTAGGCACGGTCTTGTAGGGATGGGCCAGGGGTGCTGGAGGATGTCTTATGGGGCTTTGCTTTTCCCCTGTGCGAATCACCAGCCTTTCCCAAACCTGAGACTATATTGAGGTACTCGGGGTGAGGGGAGGGGAGGATGTGCACAAAGGACAACTGGGGTTTCTGGAGCAGGCTTTAAGAAGGGAGGTTTGTCTTTTTAGGTTCTGTATTGAGGGAGGAAGCCCTGTAGGGTCCTGGGCTTCAGGCTGAGTCACTCCTGGTTGGCCATCCTGCCTAGACTTGCAGCCAGGCAGTGCCAGGCCCAAGAGGCGGGAGGGAGCAAGGATGCAGCCTGTGAGGGCGCTATTCTGAAGCCAGTGGGGAGAGAAGTGCAGGCTCAGGGACTTGGCTCAGTGTTTGCCTCAGACTGAGCATTGGGGTGAGACAGGGACATCAGGAGGCATTTGGGACAGAGCCCTGCTTAGAGGGGACACCATCAACAGGTGACAGAAGCCCTGTGCTCTTGTTCTGGCTGCCTGTGAGCCAGGCCAGGAAACATCTGGCAGAACTCTCTCAGGGACCTGCCCTGCATGGGGGACCACCGAGCCTGGGTAGAATGACACAGAGCCCCCCAATACCCAGTCGTTTACCATAGACCAAGGAAGAAGGGGTGATGGGGCATGCAGTGAGCTTGGAGCGATGACCAGAGCCCAGCTGTTTATCACGGTCGCCAGCTCCTACAGCTTTACACAACCAGCTGGGTTTGAGGAGGCAGGAATCAGGCATGAAATTGTACAGACGGGCTCCCGGAGCCATGGGACTCATCCTCTCTCTTTCCTCGCCTTTCCCCTTCCTCCCCTGGAAGCTTCTTGTTTGTCCCCACCAATCTTCAGAAAGGGGCCATCAGCGGCCGCAGGCGTGTAGCTGCCTGTTCTCAGGGTCAGGCTGTGGAGTGGCCCCTGTGGCTGGACCTCACACCTGTGTGAAGCTCTGGAGACCTCACTCCTGGAGGAGCTGCAGCTTGTGGAGTGGTGGCTCTGTCCGCTGTTTCAGACACCTTCCTAGCAGCCTGGGATTTCCAACTTCAAAACCTAGGTGTCCTCTGTGGTTTTCCAGTCATGGAAGTTCAGGTGGTGGCTCCCCTGGAAGCCAGATGTGACATTCCTGGAGCTTGGGCCTCAGGGGCAGGGCCCCAGGTCAGGGAAGCTTTAGAACGTTCTGACCTCCATCTCTTGCCTCGTGCCCAGAAGGAATGTTTCCAGTGGATCTGGCTGTGAGGACCAGGATGTAGTGGGGAGACCCAGATGAGGGGCAGCCCGACCACCTGTGATCTCTTAACTGTGTCAGGCTGACCGTTGACCCCTCCCCACGTCTGGACCCTGTGAGTCAGATACCCACAGAGCTCTCGTGCCACTACCCAGCTGTCCTGCTTTCCTTTGTGGTTTTTCTTTCCCTGAGTCTTGCAAGGGGCTGGACTGGGATTTGCTCCTAAGTGGTTGGGCCTTGACTGACACACTCCTCACCCCGCTATTGTTCATCTGTTCTGTGCAGTCACACATGTAGCTACTAAAATGTAGCTTTCAATTCATCAAAAGTAAATGAAAAATTCATTTCCTCAGTCACACTAGCCACATTCCAGGTGCCACTTCACCCAGTCCCCACCTCTTACCCCTCCTGTGATGCAGGTGGACCCTGCACCTCTCCCAGCCCTTTCAGAATCTGCCCTGATTCTGGACAGCGAGAGGAAGCTGGCCGAGAGAACGAGGGGACGCCAAGTCCTCAGAGCTTCTGAGACTCTTTATCCTGTGTGTTTTCACTCTCAAACCATGACTCCTGGGCCCCCTTTCAAGAAGACACAGTCTACCCTGCTATGAAGGACTCCCCCCTTTCACCTGAATTGGCCCTCTGAATGCCCTGTTCCCCTGGCAGGGTGTTCACTGTCCCTCACAGTGGGTTCCCAATCACCCTCTCCCGTGGGGTCACTGCAGCAGGCCTAGGCCACGCAGTTGCTGTGAAGCAGCGCCTGCCTCTGCCCCCTCGGAGCCCATGAGACTGAATGAGTCGTGAGCGAAAGAATGCTAGAGCCTTTGGATACGTATTAGAGGGAGGAGTAATGCTTTTCTAGAAGGCTGAGCGATGACCAGCCATGGTGGAAATGGCTCCGTCTTCCCAGACCCAAGGTCAGAAGGTGTGCCCCTCCCCACCCGCACCTGCCCCCCCAGCAGGAAGTAGTGTGACCCCACAGCCCTGCCGCTTCCTCTCTTTACCCCTCTGGACTTCTCGTTTCCACTGAATCTGTTAATTTCTGTTCTTATTTCACTTTGCAGACTATTTGCCGATTTCACAAGACATAATTTTTATCAACTAGCTCTTAAGAGAGGCATAACAAATTGGGGTTTGCTACCATTACTAGAGAGAGGACACAGTCCCGGCCGGGGCTACCCCAGCTGCTGTCAGCGCCCACTGAAGCTGCCCTTGCTGCCTGTTTGACCGAATGTTCTTTACTCGTTTTTTTGGAAAAAACTCATGCCCTCGTTGCTTCACTCTTTTTTTGTTTGAGTCTCCAGTCCCCTCCCACTCTGCTTTTTGTGCACACCGGGAACATCCCCCCTCCCCCCACGTGCCCCCTTCTCCCAGAATGCATTGGGACCAGAGGAAAGGCCTCAAAACTTTATAGTGACTCCCCAGGGGGATCCGGTTATTTTAAATAATGACCAAACAGACCTGTGGGGTAGGATTTTAAATGCTGTTGGCCACAGTGTTGGGGACATGTGGCACCTATGTCCCATGGGGAACGCAGGGTGAAAAGTGAACACACACTCGGAGGTTGTTCTGTAAATACTAACATGGAAAATGTAGTCTGGAAGAGCAGCTATATAAAGCTATGGTTTGTCTTGAGGGCCAGGCCCTCAGTGGCTGTTGCCATAATAAAAAACACATCTGCCTCAAGAGGGAACAGTGGGGTCATCAGGTGCTGCCATGTCTTCCACACTGTGGGCACCAATCCAGGCCAACCCCTCCTTCCCCAGCACCCCCACCCTCGCCTCCCTGCCCATGCGGGCTCTGTGTTCCCTGCTGGCACCAAGGGCCTCGTGGCCCACTGGAATGAAAGGAGATAGAACCCAGGCCCATCCCGATCATGTCAGCACCCCCATGTGGCCCCACAGAAGCATCTTTTCCCACCATCCTGACTCATCCACTTCCCGATTTAAAGTACCCCCACTCTCTGGATTACTGAAGTACAGCCAAGTTGGGCCCTCGGGAGTCTCCCCTTTGTTCACACTCCACAGTTGTGAGAAGTGACTCGCCTGCTTCCCTCGGATGCATTTGACATGAACAAATCCATCCATTTGAATGTCAGTGTCCTTGAGAACCAAACTATTCGGTTTGTTCATCCCATTAAAGTTGCTTGATGTAATAATGGGTTAGTTTACTTTTATTTTCCCATAGACTTTTTCATGAATGGTGTTTGTTGTTTTTTTTTTAAAAATCCGACTTTGTTCTGCTGTGATTCACTTTGCTTTGGTAAACTTGTCCTAGTCGGCCTGCCTCACCAGCGTTTTAGCTGTTACGAATTTTCTGCATCTCTGTAAATAGTTCATCTGTGCATCTCCCTGATGACGTTTATTTTTTCCTCCTGTAAGCAACTGAGGTAGAAAAATAAATTGTTTACCACGGACATGCTGTGTACTGCCGTCTCTAACCTGACGGCTCTCACTCTGGGGAGGTGAATGCACTGAATAGCTGGTACCCACAACAGCGTAGTGCAGTGTCTGAAGCATGTGCACTTTTTGTGGCTGCCGCCCGGCGGCCTCTCACTGCATGGTGTGCCCTTCTCTTGCTCCAGGTGGTCTGTTCTTGAGGAGACAGAGCATCTGTGTGCAGCAGCTGCACATTCACCCCAAAGCCCTCCCCTCTATGGTCACTGGTGCCCTCACGTGAAAACACCACTGGGACATCTGGCACCCACTCGTCTGACCTCTCATCTGAGCACCAGGTGTATGTGAGCTCAAGCCCGTGCTTGTGTACACCTACACATGATTTGCACATGCCTTGCTTTCCTGTTGCCCTGAACAGTGCAGTTTGGAAGAGGCACCAGAAGACAATGGAACTGGACCTGAAGCTCTAAGACCTGGTTTCCAGGCCCCATGTGGCCACATAGTAGCCATGTGACCTTGAGGGATAAAGTCCTGGGGTAATAATAGTGCTCAGTTGTTTTGTTAGAATTAAGTAGGATAATGTGTACATATGAATATGCCTTGAAAGTTGATCAATGCTAAACAACTAGGAGTTTTGGAAACACTGGGCTCCGATGCTGTTATATCACCCCCCAGAGTGGTTTTCTTTTCCTTGTCACCCTGATAAAGCCCCCTGCTGGTGGTGATACCAGAACTGGGTGTTGCAAAGCCAAATAGAATTCCTAGGTAAGGGAGGGAAAGAAGTATATCTCAGAGAAATGACCTGCTTAAAGTAAGAAAAAAGGAAACTAATGGCCTAAACAAAATAAGAATTTGTTTCTCTCACCCATGTAAAATAAGCCTATGTGGCATCAGTTTATTAGGGATCTGGGTATCTTTTTTTTTTTTTCCAAAGATTTACTTTATATAAGAGCTGGGATACAGGCCAGATGCATGGGAGGGTGAGAGGATTCACCAGAGATAGAGTGGGGAGCAGAACAGGCAAACTGACGAAATACACTGCTGAGGGGAGCAATGGGCAAGACGGGAGAGGTCTGCTCGCCAAGTGGATTGCTCCGAGGCCGGCGGGGATCAAAGCGGCACTGCAGAAGCTGCAGACAGCCTCACAGTGCTGCGCTCAACCGCCTGCGCCACCAGGGAGGCCCTGGGTATCTTCTTTTTTATTCTATCCTCTTCAACATAGACTCTACCTCAGAGTCTAAAAAGGCTGCTCAAGCCCCAGCCATTACATATTCATCTCAGAAGAGCATATTTCTTCCCTTTTGTAACACTAGAAGCCAAATGTGACATTCTGCATAGACCCCATTGGTCAGACCTTAGTCTCATAGCCTTAGGCATTTCTAAGGTTTCCTTTATCCCGGGCAGCCATGTGCCCAGCTGAAAACATAATTTGGGTACTAAGGAAGAAGGGTACAGCAGATACTAGGAAATACCTCAGTCTCTGGCACAAAGCAGAGAGGAAGCATTGCAGGCCCCAGGGATGATGAGCAGGCCTATGAATGGGGCTTGCAGGAGCATCTGGGCTGGGGGGAGACAACGTTAAAGCAGGAGACTGTGCTCAGTCATGGAGGCCTTGTGAGTCAGGTTCAGGAATTCCAGTTTGACTGTCAACCCAGATGAAAAGGCTTAGAGGATTTGAAGTAGAGGAGTGATATGATATGGTCAGATCTCCAAAGTAAGTCAGAGGGGTCTGGCGAGATAGGGGGGCATCGAAGAAACTGCAAGGGTGGGTTCAGAAACTGTTGTCTCTTTTCTGCATGCCACCACCTCTCCTCCCTGTCTCACCCTCTCTTCACTCCATTCCTTTCCCCCTGCCTTGGGCTGCCTGGTGGCCCTTGGAGTCTTTCAGCTCTACTGGGTAAAACAGCCCCAACCACTGAAAGGGCTGTGGGCCAAAGCCTTGGCTACTGACGTAACCCTCAGACACAGGCACTTGGGGCAGCAGGTGGCATCCCATGGCCCAGTGCTCACACCTCCCTCCCAGGACGCTGTCACCCGTCAATAGCTGGGCAGTGCACATCCCAGGTCAGTAGACCTGGGATTCTTCGATTTTGGGCCTGGAGGTGCCAGTTGGTCCTCCTATCTCTTCAACGACAGGGAACCGGTTTCATGTCAGGGGCCATTGTTGACTGGTCAGTACTGGCTTCCTGGAGAACTGACTTAAGAATGATTTTGAGGCCAAGTCCTAGCTCAGCAGAAAGAGGGCTGTGATTGATGCACAGTGCCTGCACGGTTGCTGGCTGGGCAAATCACAGATTGTGCCTTTCGGATTCCAGTGTGATGATGGTACTTGGGTCACTCTGAAGATGACCGTTTTGTTTCATGTGGAGGGAGGGAGGCAGGGGCACAGCCTCAGGGAAGATACCATAGCTCGGGGATATCCTGGAGGAGAAGCTACCGGAGCCTGGCTGCTGTACCGGCAGGCTCAGGTAAGTGGCCGTCAAGTCATCTGGTCTTTGAGCACAGACCAGGAGTTAGTGTCATGACTTATCCTCAGGGGAGTGGCTTGAATGTGGAAAGCAGAATGCAGTTGGTTCAAGTTCTCAAGAGGAGAGGGAGTTTGTCTTTATAGGATGATCCCAGTTGTCCTTGACCTTAGGGAAGGGGCTACTTCCTGCACCAGCTCGTAACCCACCGTCAGTTCTGTCCGGTTCATGACATTTTGCAGAGTGTTCAGAAGTGCTTCTCACTGTGGTGCCAAAAGCCTAGGATTCTGCCAGTGTTGGTAACCTGGGCTGCCCTGGGCAGTGGTTCGAGGGCCCTTCCACGCAGCCGCCCCTCCAGCCTGCTCAAGCGGCAGAGACTGCTTGAGCCCCACTTGGGAGAGGCCATCCCTGGCTCATGCCTCCATCTGGGTCTCTCCCAAGTGCTGCTCTTTCTGGCCTCTTCTTGGAGGGAGAGGAGCCTCCCCCCAGTCTCTGAAGCCTTGTCTGGGAGGCAGTTCCAGGCCATTGTGATAGAATCACAGACCAGGGCTTAGGATGACCCCTCACTTGGATATAAACTTAAATGTCAGGATTTCTCCCTCCTGCTTCAATTTTTTTTAAAGATTTATTTATTTATGCATACAAGAACTGGGGTGCAGGCCAGAGGTACGCGTGGTGAGAGGATTCACCAGAGACAGAGTGGGGAACAGAATAGGCAGACTGACTGAAATACACTGCTGAGGGGAGTAGCGGGAATGACAGGAGAGGTCTGCTGTGCCATGTGGGTAGCTCCCTGGCAGGGATCGAACTCATGCTGCAGAGGCTTCATAGTGCTTCATAGTGCTGTGCTTAAACCCTTGTGCCACCAGGGAGGTTCTTGCAAGTGCCCTTAAGAGGAACTCTATGGACCCCCAAAGTGGCAAACCCTCAGGCTCTGCCAGTGCCCCTGACAGGGAAACTGATCTTGAGATGCCAGGGCGGGGTGACTGGCTTCCCAGGTATGTGACATAACCATTGACCTGGGCACCATAAACAGAAAACTCAGAGTAAAGGGAACCCGTCCTGACAAACGTAGTCCCTGCACATCTGTTTCATCACCAGCCCTCTAATCTGTACATCCCTTTAGCCCTAAAGCTCCGCCTGTCTCTAGAGATTACCCCCTTCGCAGATTGGATCCACAGGCAGATTTTAATTCACCAGCCAGCTCCTCCTGTGGCCGGCCCACTCAGTGCCACCTGGCCCTGTGTACTTGGGGCTTATCCTCTCATTTGAATATTAAAGGCAAGCTTAGTCAGGAAAGCTATCCCCTGCTTTAAAAGAAGATGGAAAAGTAGAATTCAGCAGCACACCCCAAATCCTGGCAGCAGGATTGTCGGGACTGTGGACGGGCCATGCACTCCACGCCTCCCTTGGCGTGGAAAATCAGGAGCTGACTCTATTCCCAGATGAGAGCAGAGCGAGATGCCTAATAGGCACTTAATAAATGTTTGTGGAAATGAATTGGAGCAATCTGAGTTGACGGGAATTGCGGGTTTCACTTTCGATCAGCTTGCTGTAGCTCTCGAAGCTCCTCTGCATAAATGAAGGGAAACGTGGCAGAGGGCGGGCTCAGCTCCCAGTGCTGATGCCCTGAGCACTGTATCCTCAGGCAGGAAGTCGGGAGACAGTTCTTGCCCCAAGAGGGCTGGGAGAGGAAAGCCTCCTGTAAGTCTCAGTTTTCCTATCTATCGAATGGATCTGTCAAATGGGGTTATTGACCCTTGTCCTTGCCCTCTGCCTCACAAGTAGTTGAGAGGGTGACCTAGGATGACCTAGTGTTTTGAGAAAAGGTAGTGTCCTGTCCTGGGAAGCCCCATGTGAGAGCAGAGGGTCCAGCCAGCTGCAGTAGGGGCAGCAGTGAGGGGGCTGTGGATGTGGCCTGAGCCCTAGGCCCACTGGCTCCCATCTCCCCCAGCACTGCCATCCTCAGCTCCCCTCTCACACCTTTTAGGTACCTGTACCCCAGTCAGCCTGCCAGCACAAAGTTAATCAACATTCAAGCCCTTCAGTTTTAATTTGCATCAGCAAAAGCAAGCGAAATGTTACAGGTTAAAAACAAACCACCAACATCAACAAATTACAGAAGATGAAATCATAGGCAGAAGGCACTACCAGGCCTAAGGAAAGGGCAGCTCATGGCCTCTAGAACAGCCAAGGACAAACCAAAGGCAAAGGGGTGGCCTGGCCTCTCCCCCCCCCCGTCCCCCCCCACACACACACAAAGGAAAGAAGAACAGAGTCCTGCAGACGTTTTCCCTGAGTCCAGGTCACCTTGTTTGCTGCCCCGAGACACCCCACTCAGTGGGAGTCACCATCTCTGCTCCCTGTTCCTTTTGTACAAGAATGGGCAAGAACATTCTTAGCAGTGTCAGAGAAAGACATCAGGACCTGCCCCAGGCTGGGGGCTCTCGGGGTTCGGGAATGTTGAGCAAGGAGGTCGGAGCCTGGAGGGGCATCCCACATTGGCCAGATGTGTTCCTGTGTGGTCTGACAGGTATGCAACATGAGCATGGGAAGCTCTCGGGAAAGGGCAACATCTAAACTGAGATTTTGGAGGATAAATAGAAGTTCACCAGACAGATGATGAGAAAGGGGTATTCCATATCACAGGACCATGAGGTGTAATGGCATGAAAGCATTGTGTGTCTTCCCTCCAGTGGTGACCCAGAAAGGAGCACCCTCCTCTATAGGGTATTTGTAGGGGGCAGAGGAACAAACAGGATCCACTTGTTTGGAAGGACTCAGGGAGATCCCTCTAGCCAGGTTGCTGCTGGAGGAGCTGGACCAGCCTGAGGATAGCCTTTCAGGGCCAGAGGACTAGAGATGGCTGCCAGTCCAGCTGACGAGCACAAGCACAGGGCTTTAGGACCCACGTCTGCAGCTGTGGTCACCACATCACAGGGCGGTGGCCCCCAGCCAGACCCTGCCTAAGCCCCTACAAGCCCCTTTCCTCCTGCTGTCACATTACCTCACCAGAGTTAGAGCTTGCATTTCCAATAAAATGCACCCTTATCACTCACAAGCAAATTATAAATGTTATCTATTAAAGTCCTTTGGATGTGAAATGTCATGTAAATTAATAGGATTTTAGAATAGGAAGGCACCAAAGGGAGTTCTCAGCTCCACTACTGTTATTACCTTGGGCAATAATAATAAAAATAGAAATAAAAGTTATTATTCCACTTACTGAGTGCTTGCTGAGTGCCAGAGAACCGTGCTGAGCGCCCAGCGCCACCATCTCATTCAATTTCACAGCAGCCTGAAAAGGAGGCATCTTTAGCTGCATTTACAGAGGAGCACAGTAAGACTGAGGGAAAGTTCCCCGACTTGTCTTGGGTCACACAACTAGTTAGCATGAGATCGGGGATTTTAGCCACCTCGTGTGCTGTGTGCTTTTTCCTCTCTGGACCACGAGTTCATGTGTTCAGTGGAGCTGGATACCTTCCTGCTCCTAGTTATAGTGAAGGCTCTTTGAGATGATGCAGGACACTTCCTGGCCAAGGTACAGGCTCCCGTGGTGACTGTGTTACTGTCGTCATTGTGATGACGACTTTCTCACCACCCAGGCCAAGCTCTTTTATTTTGTAGGTGAGGAAGCAAAGGCCCAGAAAGACTGTCCTACAGCTCCCCCTTTCAGCTCGAGCTGGTCTGGATGATAGGACCTACTCTGTGTTAAGATTTTAAATCTGTTTGTACCTGTCATTGGTAAATAGCAGCTGCCCTGAGCTCCCAGACCACCTCCCCAAAGTACTGTGCCCTCCCCGGGATACCCTGACCATCCCACCATCCACCAACACATGCCCAGCATGGCAGTGGTCTGTCAGGCAACATGTGAGGCCCAAAGAGGCAGCGCCACCATTTTACAGGAAGGGAAGCCGAGATCACAGATGTTAAATCATTTGACAGCAGGTGGTTGGGGCCACAGTGGGGCCTGGGTCCTTCAGCAAGAAGTCTTGGGGGGGCTCAAGATTTGAGTGTTTTCTTTCTGGCCCACAGAGTAGATAGATGCCCTAGGGCCGGTGTTTAGAATCGTTGTGCAGCAGACCATTGCAAAGGTCTGTGGAGCATGAAGCTGGGGAAGCAAAATTTTGACTTTTTCTCTGGCAATTGGGCAGCTGAAATTTTGGAAACGGGGAGCAGTGTAAAAGCCATCTGATCAGTGAGCTCTAAAAGAGACAGTTGTCAGACCAGTGGTTTATCCTCTTACCTGTTGGTGGTGGATGGGACAGTGTCTCAAAAGCAGAAATTCAGATTTGGGTAACAGGACCCCATGCACAATATGAAGAGAGAAACTCTCAAGATAGTTTTGCTGATGACTGCATCGAAACTGTGGTCTGGAGTCTCTTGCCTTTGAAGGCTTGCTCTTGGTCTCAGAGAGTCCAGCCGATGTTTGTTCTGTGAATGAGTGGGCTTCTCTGAGCCTTCGAGAACCAGAGAGTGCTGGCACAGGGCAGTGCCGCTGGCTTTGAAGTGATGTCCCTGTGGCCAGTCTTGTACTCGAGGTCTTACTGGAAAGAGAGTGATGCTGAGCAGAGTGTTCCCATGCAGCCAGGAGCCAGTGCCAGAGTGTGCGGAATGTGTCAGCCATTCCTGATGGTGGCCCTCTGGCCAGCTCTGCAGAGAAATTTCATCTCAACCCCAAGGCCCTGGATCCCCTGGCCAAGGATTAGCAAAGCTGCAGCTCTCTAGAATCCCAAGAGGCATGCCCCCAACTCATTGGCTAGTGACTGAAAGAATTTTGAGGAACCCACCTGTGTCAAGGTTATGTGTGCCGGGGCCCAGCTCGGTCATTTTTTAAGCTGAATCAAATTGAAGCGGTGAGAGCTTAGGGGGCTAGATCAAGACCATAGCTGCAGGAATACCTCCCTGCCCTGTCCTTTTGCTTCCTCGATCTTGGAGAAGAGAATTAATTGGGATGGTCGCCCCCTACACTCCCCTGACCCTCAGGACTGGATCTTCTGATATTGCCTCCATCTTCAAGCAGGATTAGAGTAGCCACACCCAGCTCTTAAGCTTAGCTATGAGAAGTCCCAAAGGCAGACATAGGCTGGAACCTGGCTCCTAGCTGGGGTGGGGGGGGGTCCCAGAGAGCATCCCTTTATCTCAAGCTTATCTTAGCCAACTTTTTCTCCATCCCAGGGAGTTGGTTTGTGTGCAGCCTGGTCCTGGGGCCCAGGACCCCACCAGGAGCAGCTGATATAAGCTCTGTGAGGGCAGAGACTCTGTGTTTTGTTGGCTACTGTGATTCCAGGGCTTAGTGCAGTGCCTGGCGTGTATGTGGTAGGTGCTCAGTGAATATATAAGGATCGGGTCTTATATATTCAGGTCTTATATCGAGTTAAGGAGTTAAGGGTCTTAAATCGGGTCTTATATGGAGTTAAGGAGGGATCTAACATGATTCTTGGCAGAAGCTCTAGGTGAGCTAGGTACTTGGGCTCTGGTTCCCTGTTGGGAGGGAATGAGCAATTCAGAGGTAGAGAGGCCCAGAGAGGAGAGTGCTGGGCCAGAGTCCCCAGACAGAGCTGTCTGCCTCCCAAGGAGCCCTGGGAATTACTTCCTAAAGCCATGTTCTCTGCTCCAGCTGTGCTTTGGTGTTCCCGGGGACCTGTTAAAAGTTTCTGTTGTCAGTCCACCCCCAGGCAGATTATTTCAGCATCTCTGGGAGTAGGCCCAGGCATTGTTATTTTTCCCTTAGCTCCCCAGGAGAGTCCAGCCAGGTTGAGACGATGATGCAGGAGGGGGTATAGTAGACTCCCCCTCACGGCCCAGCAGACTGGGTCCGAGCTCGCCTCTTCTGGGACTTTTCCTCTTGTTCTTGGAGCAAGTCCCTTCTGTTTTTATGCTTCTACAAAACTTTCCAGACAAAGGTTCTCCAACCACAAAACTTCATAAAACCTCAAAAAGGTTTGATGTTGCTGCATGCCATTCTGTTAGCCCCCATTGAAATAGTCAAAGGGCTACATAATTTATAAAATTAAACTAAACAATTGTAATTAAAAGGGAGGGGCAGGGCCTCCCCGGTGGCACAGCAGTTGAGCGCTGGGTTGCAAAGCTGCCCGCGGCCTCTGCGACGCCGGTTCAATCCCCGGCTGCTCCCCGGCCACCGGAGGAGGGTCCCACATGGCGCGCAGACCTCTCCTGCCGCCCGCTGCTCCCCTCAGCAGTGTACTTCGGCCCTTCTGCCTGCTCTGCTCCCCGCTCTGGCTCTGGTGAATTCTCTCACCCTCCCGCGCTTCTGACTGTACCCAGTGCATGTATAAACAAACAAACAAATAAATAAATAAAACATGCCTCTATTAAAAAAAAATTAAAAAAAAAAAAAGGGAGGGACAATTGTTGTGCCATCCGTCTGCTGTGGGTGCCGCCAACCTTGGAGCTCTTGACCCCAGACCCTCTCGCCTCCTCTTGATTGCAAGTCAGAAGTCAATGGCATTTTTTCATTTTCTTTTTTTGAGAATAATATGACACCACACCTACTTTTTACTGCGTCTGTGGCACTTACCAGTATCTGTCTTACCTAAGCACAGTTATTTTTACATGCACATTTATTTCTCTTGCTGGGTGATAAATTCTTCTAGGGCAGGACTGAGTCACATGTCCTACTTAGCATGTAGCCCAGAGTCCACCCCACAGAAGATTCTCACCGAGCATCAGCTGATGGTGCCCAGGATGCCCCAATGCGGGGAATGAGAGACAAGGCTGGGGACACCGCCAGGGCCAAACTGCAGCTGCAAGGCTGCACTGCCTGCCCCAGTAGCCTCTTGCTCCCTAGGTCCTCCACCCCTGGGTCCTCCATCCCAGGGGAACAAACTCAAATGTCCACAGGAGCACACAGGTTGCGGGGAGGGGTGTCCTGTCTTGAAGGAGGGCTGATGACTGGGCAGAGCCCTGATGATCTCAATCAAATGACAACTATCACTGACACTTATGCCCTGCAGTCATGTATCTAAGCTCTTGACACCTATTCATCCCACGCTGATACCATCATACCCTTTATAGATGGGGACATCGAGGCACAGGAAGCTTAAGCAACTTGCCCAAATCACACAGCTAGTGGGTGACGGAACCAGGACTTGAGCCCAGACAGGCTCCTTGTCTGTGCATTTTGTGATGGTCCCCACCTGCCTCCCAAGGAGCAGCCTGGTCGCCCCCTTCACGTGGCAGGCTGTGTGAGAAGGGATCTCCACTCCACAT